GGAAAACACCAGAGAGGTGCTTGTACTGAACAAGAATAACCACATCTGCAGAATGTCTCAAATCATAGACTGTACAATGGGTTACTATGAAAATGGGCAGCAGGAGCTGGTCAATTAAGAGGGTAAACACAAACCTGGTACTGTTATTTGTTTTCCTGAAGTAAAACTTGGATAGGGTGGTAAAAATAAATAAATATACATATATATATATATACACTACAAAAGCAGTCTTCTGGAGAATACCATCTCAACAATGGGCACTCAGGAGGAACAGATAGGCTTAACACTTTCTGTTATCTCCTGCTCAATGTAGATTTCACGAGAGAGAAGTATTCCCTATGAGGCAACATCAGTCATGTGATGGGTTCTATCATCTCCATACTATAAATAAATACAAATAATAAGGTGGTTTGAAACTTGCAAAAGAAAGAAACAAGTAACAATTCACCTATATAGAGCCTTTGTGAGAATTGGAGAATGGTGAACTGAGGGAAACAAAAACCAGAGGTAGATGAAATTATTAAGTGGTGTAAGTAATGTGATATAATGGTGTTGTCGGTCATTTAAATCCTCACCTGCATGATTAGATCCATGGAACATTGACAGCTGGAGACAAGAGAAGCTGTGGGATGATGAAAAAATTAAAAGTGTCATCACCCATAGAGGAATATGCTAGCCATGTGAGGTGCATAACCCAATTGGCCAAAGTGGAAGACAATAAGTTACTAAAAGAAGAGTACCTCATGGCAATAAAATATATCGTTGATTGATTAAAAAGGGACAGTACAAGTGAGATAACATTGATCATTCTGTATGAGACAAAGGACACGTCTGGAGTCAGAATGATTGTACAAGGAAGGGAGGTTGACTGGAAAAAACTTCTGAACACCCTCCCAAGCAGTCCAAGTTATGAGAAGGAGGAAAGGAAGAATAGTTGGAAAATAATATGAAACTGTCCCAATGGTAAAGTCTGTGGGAGGTGTGCAAAGCAAAAATGTCAGAGCAGTGGCTCCCACAAGAAAGAGGCAAAAGAAAATATGTCCTAAAAGAAAGATGGTACAGAGAAGATGTGGCTAATGGTTCAAACAGAAGAAATGTGAAAGCCCTAAAAACTAAACAGTTAAGAAGAAGAACCAAATGAGGAAGAGTCATTAAAAAGGCTCTAAAGAGATCTGTGAACCAAAAAAAGGAATGGAGAATGGCCAGAGGAAGATACAGAAGGTCATGAACAAAATATTCCCATAATCGATGACAGGACAAATGAAAATAAGTCAAAGAGAAGAATAGTTATAGAAAAAGTTATTGAACCAATTCAGGTTAAGAGCATTCAAGCTAGAACTGGTGATCAAAAGAGTGGAAGCTAGATGTTGAGGAGAAATGGAAAGGTGGCAAAGAAAGGGATCTCAAAGTGGAAACAAATCCACTGAAAACACCAGAAGAGGAAGAGACCACTTCATGGAAAGGATCTGGGCTAGGTGAAATAGTCATTCTGCCACCAGGGTGAAAGCTCCCAAGATATGATAGACTGGCAACTGAACTTCGTGGTCATAGGCCCAAAAGAAAAAGTCTATAAGAGTAATTGCTTCCCTGTTGGTGAATGGAAGTAATGGAACAGAATAAGAAGACCAGATAGATGAGTCAGAACATGATGGCAATCTCCCTGAACAACCAACATCTTGAGAACATTGATAGTGACCATTCCTATAGTGATACTTCTGAATTAGAGCAGGTGTCCAGAACCGTACCCCATCTAAACAGAGAGTGATCAGGTGAGAGTTTGTGTCTGTTGGTCTAGTT